TAATGTTCGGAGTCAAAACATCGAAAGATCCGAGATCAACAATACAAAACGGATTTTGGTAAGTATTTTTCGATACAGATGGGATTGTTGACTCAAAGGCGCGCTCGCTTTCAAAAATGGTGAGTTGTGCTACTCAAGTGTATAATAACAAGATGAAAATTAACAAGAAGAGAAGAGCAAGCGGAACTATCGACAAAGCTGAAAAATCCGCCCGGAATGCCTCGAACAGAACACCATCTGAACCGCGCTTAAGCGAAGCGAAGAAGGTGTGTGGGACGAGTCATCAGTTGTGGGTACGAACTTGTTCCCCTTACCACTGACTCTTGCCGTTCGAAATGGTGAGAGCTTAGTGGATAACGACACCACCAGTAAATTTTTAGAAATGAAGTTGGGCGATGCGGTAGCCAGTGAGTTCACCGTGGTTTCATCACGAGCGATTTCCTCGCGGAGCTTGCCTCTAATCTAATTTTCTCAGTAGCGAGCAGCTTATACTTGCTCATGTCTCCGTCCTTAACGTCCATCAGAAAAGTTCTTATAGGTTCTTCAAATATCTTCTGCTGGGTGGATTGACCGTTGGATTTTTCTTCATTCGTAGTGAGCACTTGTCAACACGTAAGTTCTCTTATTTTCTGTTTTCTCGGGGCTAATTGGAATTATCACCTGAACTCTCTTTATTTTATTTTTCAGCTCTGATGTGGTTCGGTATGATTGGTGGATTCCTGTTCATTCTGATCCAGTTAATCTTGATTGTGGACTTTGCCCATGGTCTAGCCGAGAGCTGGGTAGAGAAGTAAGGGTTCTAGAGCTGGAGTGCAGTCAATTATGGTGTCTCCTCTCACTAAACCCTTTTCAGATATGAAGAAGATGAATCGCGTTGCTGCTATGCCGGCCTGCTCTTCTTCACATTCGGTTGTTATGCTGTAGTAGGAGTAGGAGTTCTGCTCATGTTTCTATTTTACACCACGGTTAGTTTAAATCAAGCGAATCAAGCAGGATTTCCAACGCCAGTTCGGCTTGGGGGTCATTTTGGCAGCTATGCTGCTTCCCGGTGACGTTAGATTCCATAAATGTAACTGGCGGAAAACATATGACAGCCATGAATGGTACCACTCAAATGTCATAAAATTCTTGTGAAGTAATGATCGCGGCAATGGGAAGCAGCGAATGTGCGAAATGCTCCCTGCGGAACTCCGTTTGATTTTTTCGGAAACGCGGACGATTACATGCTGCGTTCGTACTTTGCGTCAGTGACTACGCGTTTCGAGCATACGCTCAGCGACTAGGGTCTACTGGCGATCGCCAGAAGTAGGGAGTATGGGAAAGTATTCAGGAGGGAGCAGACAGCTGGTTTAGGCCGCCATGACAAGCTGGCATGGAATGGCGGTGTGTGCAACCCGCACTGTAGTACTGCTCTCCTGGTCGCTGGTGGGCACTGTCGAGTATGAACTCAGTCTCGAGAAAGAGCTTCAAGACTTCACCAAGACCATTCTCGCGCAATCCAGCGTTCTGACCGCTGCCCCAAAGTACGAACGTAGCCTCACACACTGGCACCGACTTAGTCACATCAAAGGTGGCCCCTCAACTACATTAGCGCTGAGCATCTTGAAAATGCATTAAATAGGTCTGTTTCAGGGAGCGACTTGTGCTCTACCGAAGGTCTTTATATCTTTCAACGCTTTCTTGTGTCTAGTAGTCAGTGTCCTGTCGATTATGCCGTTTGTGCAAGAAAGGTACTTTTTCAATTCTCATTCCACAGTTCGGCTTGAGAGCGACATTTTGCATTTTTGAGCTACTTTGGTTACAAGATTTACAGGTCCCTTCGAGGTGACCTGTACAGGGTTCGCTTAGTGCCGGTTGATAGTCCCTACCAAGCCGTCGAGCAAGAATGAAGAAAGTAGAGGGAGGGGTATAATGCGCTTTGTTCTGCCACTGCCTGTAAATTCCTGTAAAGCTCTGGATGTAAAGCATTAGCATGAGCTTCGTCTACAGTTGACAAGAGTCTCAATACCTTGCCAAGGCGAGATGTGTAATTTGGCAGAAAGTAGCAAAAACTGCGAAATCCCACCTACCCACCCCTACACCGCGCCCCGCCGTACAGCGCCGACATTTCTCTCGAGGCTCGACCTCCGCAATCCATGGTCGCTAGTGGGGATCGATTATGTTGGCTCTGT